TGGATGGCGCTCCCATATGTATCTGGAAACCACTGGCCAAAGGATGCGTGAGGACTTCAGAGAGCATCATCGAACAGTCCATGAGACTCACAGAAATCAAGCACGGCGTCGCCGATGAATTCGAGTCTGTCGTAGCTCATCCCCTGTCCGCCTCCGAAGGTCGAAGTATGGGCCTGGCATTACACCACATCAACTTCACGCGACAGAATGGAGAGACAACGCGACGACGACGTACAAGAGCCTGTCCCAGCAAGTCTGGCCTTCCGATAGGCGAGCCCACCATCAGCTCTAATGCCTGGACGGTGCCGCGAGGCGGAAGCGTCGTATTCACTTGTGCTTGCGCCTGCGTAGCATCTACGGCCGCAAGCCGTCCGTAGTCAGACCACTGGGCGACGCCGGGGATGGGGATCTCGAGACGCCTGGCGGCTTGGAGCGCGGCTTCGTGTCCGCCAGATAGGAAGGATGCAGCGAGGATGGCTTCCACGACGTCGGCAATGGTCTGGTGTCGCGATCCGAGACGTCAGTTTCCATGCTCTGGGAGAGGGAGTAGTAACACGGGTACACCGCCCACACCTTGTCGCCCATCCAGAGGGTGTTCTGTTCGTCCAGCTGGCGCTGCTTCTTGCTTCGCTTGCCTTTGTCCTTGCTTTCCGGGACGTTGTCCGCCATCTCGACGTCGCCGTCCGCATCCGCCGCCTGCGGAGCGCTCTCTGAAGTGTTCGTTGTGCGCAACGGACCCGCGGTAGGGGGCTGCCACAGCTTGGCGACGAAGCGTTTGTGCTGGATATAGGAAGGAATTCCGACGCGGGCTGCGCACTCCTGAAGGACCTTGTTGCCAATGATAGCTTGTCGGGCGGTGTGCAGCGCGCCGACATCGTCTGAGGGCATGGTTGCGTAGCAGAAGTTGGAGCCGACGACTTTCAGGAAGGAATCACCTATAACGAACGGCGGATCCGGTCAGCGATCGTCCTCGTCCAGTATAGATCTTAGAGGATTTACCTAGAAATTCTAACCTTTCGTAGTTGATCTCGGTCCAGGCCGCTGGCGTAGATAGCGCTATATGGAGCTGTTGTTCAAGAATGGCGTTGTGGAAGAGTTTTGCGTTCAGCTCCTTCGTGAGCAGATAGCTGTCGAGCTTGTTCATGATGGATGGCATGAGCCATAGTGTGCGGAAGACGCTAGAGGGATGTGGTCAACGGACCCCGCGCCGCCCATGAAGTCAGTGGTTAGGTCGCTTACCTTGCGGGGATAGTGAACTTGTAACATAACTCCGGTATCACATCTGTTGACGTTAGGATGAGACATATGGTTGACAGCGTCAAATGATCACGTACACTTTAGGGGCGCCTTGGCAGGAGGAGTGGGAGGAGCCGATGTTGGGTGCAAGTTGTTGATGACGCCCGGAACTGCACTGACTTCGATCATTGGCTGATCCTCGTTCTCGAGTCCCTGGAAGTCCTTCGAACGAGCCTTACAGTACTCTAGGAAATTGGTATAATCTGCCTCGCGCTGTCCAACTTGTAAGTTTCCGTGACGCGAGCAAGATTATAGAAGAAACATACCGCGCTATCTTCCGCCTTGCTGAGCGGAGTCATGTCATGTCTGACTGCGACCACGAAGTGTCGCATTGTGAACTCGACCTGCCGGTCCAGCACAATCGCATCCTGTGCCTTGTCATCAATCGTAGACATATCATCGACAAGAGGGATGGAAAAGTAGTCGGCGGCAAGCTGCACGGCATCCCACGGGATATGTTTTTGGACGGACAGCAGAGGCCAGCGAGACGAGAGACTCGTATGCCACGCAGAGTCTAGGGGCGCAAAATAACAGAGCAGAGAGCCGACGGGAAGCTCCAGCGGCTTGTTTGTGAGCGATTTCACGACCCGAAGGGTGTAGCCATGGAGTGCCCTGAGTTGTGCCTCATCCACCTCGAGCGGTTCTGCCTTGTAGAGATGCACCGCGGCGCGCGAGCCACAGAAATACACGTTGAAGTCCAAGGTGAGCGGTAGGGGCGCCCTCGTTAGCAGAAGGACAGGGGCATGTTGGTGGCCACCCAAGTTGTCTGGCATGATGACAGTAGGGTAGAGAGTCGTTGCCGGGGCCTGCTGAGAGTTCGGCCAGAAGTCAGGAGATTTGCGCGGGTAGCCGTGGGTCTTTGCGGATGTGTTGGCGGTCTTGACGTCTTGTACAACAGCAGGGGCATCGTGTGCTGGAGACTGGCTCGGATGCTGATGGAAGTGCCGCGTGTTCAGGATACCGACCCGGGTAAGCTCCTGACAGGCTTGGTAACATGCCTCCCGTCTGGCTTCCCACTTCGAGGGGCTGGCTGGGCCGACGATAGTAGGAAGGCGGGTGCTTGCTGGGAACGTGAGGGTGCATTGGTATTTCGTCTCCCCATCTTCTTCGCGCTCTTCGACCGATGAAGAAGCCCTATCCTCGTTGGATAAGGAGGCCCCATGCAATTCGGCAGTAAACCGGTATATCGCGGCCACGACGTTTGACTTGTACAGTCTTGCACTGGTCGTGACGTCGATGATGTAGTCCTCATCATGGTCATCCTCTTCCCCGTCAGACCGGTACGGATCCAAGCTTGTGGCCAACGTCCTAGGCGGCAGGTCCTCTTCACCTACCGCCAGCTCGGCTATCCAAGAGCGCAATTCGTCATCAAGCCCTTGGAGCCGCGATAGGATACGCCTATGTTCATTGTTGTCGCGTTGAACGAGATGGATCAGGTGAGACTTCCCTCCTTTGCTGTGCGCGTTAGCATATGCATACGAGAGTTGATCATCGAACAAGTCGAAACTGTATAGAATACGATTGTCAACGATGATGATACGACGGAGACCGCGCACTCAACTTGATAACTACGTGTGCATGCGGGATATCCATGTCCTCACACGACTTGGTCGAGATCAAGAGATTATGGGTGCCCTCTTCAAATCCCTTGCAAATTGTTATCTGCTTCCCATGTGAGCTACGATGCCACAAGAGGTCCACTGACCTTACCCCTTTGCTACGGTCACGCCAATCGGCGCCACATAAGGTAACAGCTCGGATGAACGGGATCTCGCTGTTTAACACCTCCGACAGAATATGCGAAACAGCCCTATCTTTGACTGACGTAAACGAAAATTCAATAACAGCTCGACGTACAGAAGACAAAGAAATACCAAAAACGATGCCGCGGAATGCTGAGCCATAGTGCAGGGTTTGGTGCAGAATTTGTATCAGCTTCGCGAGCTTTGGAGTAGCGTTGTATGAAGGCGAGTCTGGGTTGACATCGAGCTTTTCCGTGATGGGTATATTGTTCGTGATAGCTGTCAAACTAGTAGCCAATTGACTCCCGCTTGATGCCACTGTCTTCATCATGATGTCGATTCCTTCCCGCCAATAGAAGTTCGCCGCATACTGTCCGAGCTGTAAGGATATAAGAGCAGCGCGACGGTAGTGGGTAGGACGGAAGACCAGCCCATCTGGATCAGCTTCGCGCATCTTCACTGAGAGGTTGTGTCCGTCTCGATCTGGTTCGTATGCCTCGTATTCGATGACAAACTCCGTGGGGCCCGACCAGGATTCGGGTGATGCCGAGGGCGGTAGGAAGAAAGCTCGGGCACGGAAAGAACGTTCTAGCCAGGAAAGATCAAGAGATCCCCAGTGTTTGAAAGAGCTCGTCAAGACAGCTAGAATTCTTTGGGCGTCGGGAGCCTTGCTGTGGAAGTCGGAGACGATCTTCAGCGCTGGGTGTGGGGTTACTGTCGGCATCACTCTTTGCGTATCGCTGATGACCAGGAGATGCGCCTGAGTCAGCTTGAGGCTACCGTCTCCCAGCGAGTCAAGGAGCATCTGTCGAATCTAAGCGGCGTGTCGAGGTATAGGTACAGAGGAATATGTCACACACATTGGCTGTCACCACGATGATGTCGTTGCGGGTAATGTTGGGCCATTGGTTGGTGCCCAAAGAGTGCATAGCGACTGTGTAGGACTCGACTAAAAAGTCCATGCTTTCCAGCTCTTTGGCATACTTATTGATGGAAAGGTTGTCGCTGAGAGTATTAGTTAGCTGGTCACAGATCTCGGCGTGTCCATAAATGAACTTACTCGACGACGAATAGTATGACGCGATGTGTGTGCGGCCCATTCTGCGGCACCGTCTGCTGGGAGACCAGATTTTGTCCAAGTACTGCCCGTAGGAGGAGGAGCTTCTCTACAATGATTGTCAGCCACTCTGCTGTGACCAATTTTTCAATCGTGAAGGTTGCGCCGCATACCCTCGTGACTTTCGACGATAGCAATCACTAGAAAGACGTCAGCATATGCATCATAGATTACCGCGAGGGTTTCTTACCATTTCCTGTAGCCAACTCTTCTGAGAAGTCGTCTATAGACACAGCTGGGCGAGGTAGTCCATGGTCGTTTGTTGATGACGTTACCTCCATTCTTCGCCTTTTGGTTGGCGGCTCGGGCATGTTTCGATACCTGATGTAGCCAGTACTATGTTCAGCAATAGTAGCTCAGCACCTCCGCTAAGATTGAGCCTGAGGCGTGAGGGTCAAAATCGCAGTCACACTGGTAGAACCACCCCGACAGTTCTGTGATCATTTGTGTCAGTGACAATGGCAAACTTGGTGAGTCAACAGGACCAACTTGGGTACAGACTCAATGTAATTGTGGGCGAGCCAAGTTCAGTAGGGTGATAAGTCTATACTGTAGTTCATGTCCAAGACGTAATCAAGGTTGTGGATCGAATATATAAGTAGTGGCGCTTTAGATCGTGTTATGATGCGGGCGTCTATATATCCACCAAACCTGCCAGTCTCAAGAACAGTGACAATTACTACTTAGCCGCTCTAGTTACTTTCATTGACATCTGTCTGTGCCCACCCTGCTCCGTGCTCTTACTTACAGCTTGACTCACCGTCTCCATAACATTCACCAAGTCTCTTGTAGTTCAAGCAAGCCGTGCACGACGCTTTATATTTGCTTTAATGCTTACCTGTTATGGCCGACTAGCTCAGTTGGTTAGAGCGTGGTGCTAATATATCGCTGGGGTCCCCTTTGCTACGCCAAGGTCGTCGGTTCGATCCCGGCGTTGGCCATATTTATTGTTTGCCCGTCAGAGCCGTCGTTCCCACGTGATCCATTCATTGCAGCTCCTTTCATCGTGATCGTGGTAAGCCTGTGCTCGCAAAAACACAGTACAGCTGCACACCTGAGATCGTAAAGCAAGTTCATTTTACTTCTAATAGCAGGTTTAGTTCTAACTTCTACAGCGCGGCGCCCCGCTATACCAATAGTAAATCTAGGCCGTATAGGCAGAGGAAAGCATAGAACAGCATTTATGTCGTGGTCGTAGCTACAGAAAAGTTGGAAGGATCGAGAGGTACCGGATGGGCCGATCTCTCACGGGTTCCACATGCGCTCGCGCACGAACGCCAGTACCTGCGCGTCGGACATCGCACGGAGGTCGGGCGAGCGGTCGACACCCGCCTTCTGCGCCGCGCGGATAACGGCAAGTGCGATGTCTGCCGAGATCTCGCGGATGCGCTCGACGCGGGGGTAGAGCATGTCGAGGTCGCGCTCGTCGGGCGTGAGCGAGTTGGCGAGCCCGAGCGAGGATGCCTCGACCATCGAGTCCGTGATGGACGACGCGCGGGTGAGGATCGCGCCCAGGCCGAGGCCGGGGAAGATGTACATGTTGTTGCCTGCGCGCGCGTGCGAAGGGACACACGATCGCGGTGAGAAGTGAGCTCGTGGCTGAGGATGCTGGGCGTGAAGAATACTACGCACCTTGACCGGGGTACAGCACGCGGCCGCGGAACTCCTGCTCGGGGAAGGGCGAGCCCGACGCGAAGAGGACGTTGCCATTTGACCACTCGACGGCCTCGTGGAACTCGCATTCCGAGAGACGCACGGGGTTGGAGAGGGGGAAGATGATTGGGCGGGGGTTCAGCGCTGACATTGTCTGGATGACGGACTGGTTGAACGCGCCCTAGGCGACGAATGTGGTGTTAGAGAAGCACAGCCATGAACAACAGCCGAAGAAGCGGTACCTTTGTCGTCGACAGGCCAAGGAGCGCAGTGGGCTGGACGTAGCTAATGATCTCGGTCAGGTCGGTCATCGGGGGACCATTGTAATCCTTGCGCGAGAAGACTGGAGACAGGAAGAAGTGATCAGTTAGTGTGATCGCAGAGATAGCGTTGTCAAGTCGATATGGATGACGCACTCTTCTTGTGCTCCGCGAGAGGACCACGGCCGTCGAAGATCAGTCCCTGCGAGTCCACCAAATAGATACGGCTGCGAGCCTCTTCGTCTGACAGACCCTGCAGCTTGAAGAAGCTCAGGAGCTGCATGCCGACCCCGACCCCTGCAGAACCAGCGCCAAGGAAGAGAATGCGGTGGTCTTTGAGCGGGCGGCCGGACGCGGCGGAAGAGAGCTTGGCAGCATTCAGGAAACCGGAGAGCACGACGGCACCGGTTCCTTGGATGTCATCGTTGAAGAGCGGGTAGCGGTTACGGAAGCGGTCGAGGTAGGCAAAGGCCTTGTCGGTCGAGAAGTCCTCAAACTGGATCAGGAGCTTGGGGAAGGTGACGGACATTTCGTGCATGAACTCCTCCATGAATTCGTCTGCGGCTTTCGTCGGGACTCGCCTCTGGCGGAGGCCGAGGTAAAGCGGGTCATCGAGGAACTTTTGGTTCTCGGTACCCAGGTCGAGGCAGATAGGGATTGTCGACTCTGGGCGGATACTAGGGGATGATGAGTTTGGGATTGGCAGCGCACATATGGTGCAGAGTAAACGTACCCAGCACCAGCAACGTAGAGGGACAGTTTTCCGATGGAAATGGGCATGCCGTTGACACCGAGGTCACCGAGTCCGAGGATACGGGAGCCTATAGAACGTGCGTCGGCCACTAGGATAATGGCCCAGAAAGCGTAGATACGCACCATCGGTGACGACAGAAATACGAGCCTCGTCGATGCGGGGCCAGTTGCGGAGGATCTTGCCAATGTTTCCCTTGTCCTTGATGGAGATGAACTAGAGAAGGTTGAGGAGAAGACGGCAATATGAATTGGGGGACACGTACGAGGCCCTCAGGGCGGCGGAAGATGTGGGAGAACTGGAGACAGGCGTCGCCTACGGTGGGAGTGTAGATGAGGGGTGTAAACTCCTGGGAAGAGATGCAATGCGTCAGAGCGACGTCACGATGAATGGGGATTGGTACAAGCTCACAGCCATGTTGGCAAGGCAAAGGCGGTAAAAAATGTTCGGTTCTGCATGCTTGAGTTGGGAGAGGTAGATGTACTTCTCGATGCCCTTTTCCTTAGAGCGGAGCTGGGCGAGGCAGCGCTGGGTGTGGATGGAATCGTCATGCGCGGGAGGAAGCAGTCCGTGGGCGGGCTTTACGGGCGCTATAGTGGGGCTGGCGTTGAGTATAGATGTGCTTAAAGAGGAAGGAGGGGGTCACGTACGACTGGAGGCAACTTTGAGCTTTTGGACACCATTGGACCAGACGGGCGTAAGGACTATCGTCATTTTGAGAGGAGATGGGGGAAAGTATTAGATGAGCAAAGTAGTTGTGCGAGAGCGAGGTATAAGCGTGCAGGAGTATTATATGGGCGTAAACGTAAGCGTCGAAGTCGAAAGCAAGCAAAGAGACGGGTGGTACGAGAGCGAGGGCGCGTTTGGGGGAAGGGAGGGCGACGCGGAGAATGGGGAGATTTATAATAGCTCGAACGTGCTCTGGGGCGCTGGGTAAGACACGATCAGCACCTGGCCATGGCCCTCCGCGCCTGCGCGCAGGTTGATGTCAAGGAGCGGATGATCGTTTGGGGGACACCAATGGAGAGCCAGAACAGAATCACAGCCAAGAATAACACGTAGTGACAGGCACAGACCCCGTCCGGAAGTAAATCACGGTTTCACCCCGCGCACACCCTGCGATCTCCTTTCGCTGGTGACCGCCGCCACGGCACCCTTGTTCAATCAAATAGCCTACTCACCTTGAGCTGCCCGTGTTCGTACTACGTTCATCGGTTCCGCCGAGAGCTCGAGGGCCGGGGGTAATTAGCTCACGAGGAGGACGGGTCGGGGGCGCAAATGTGAATGTGGGCTAGTGGAATTACAGGCCTATAGATATATGCGTCGACAAATGACTCGAGAGGCTGCTCAGGCCACCCCAGCCATCGCACGATTCGCCGGTGTCGTTTCGCCCTTCACGGCAGACGCGTAGGTCATGTTACAGTCTTACAGAGCGAGGCAGAGCGCAGGCTGAGGGCGGAGCCCTGATTAGGACAGGCGCGCCCCGGATGAGAGCAAGAGCCCAGGTCCGACGGTCACGATGACGGACCCAGGACAGCAGATATCGCCCCTCTATTCCCGATGCTACATTCCACACGTATAATTGACCGGAGTCATTGCTGTCTGCCAATTGCGACGTGTCCGTATGTCACTTCTTCCTTCGGCAGGGCGACCCGACCCATAAGGTCATTTGTGAACATGGACGTCGAATGTGCCGCAAAATCAACATCTTCAATATCCTCAGCACGTCGAGTTCCAGCATTTGATATGTTAAGTATCTGGATGTTCGAAAGCGAACGAATATCATGTTGATGAGATGAGTCCAGTGCCACAGCGTTGCTGCACAATGTTCGCTCCTGGCCAGCAACCAGTGCTGAGGGCATCTGGCATCTTGTATCATCTCTCCCACTCTTTCCCCGCAGCGATCCCACCCTCTGCTGCGCAATGGTCACCCAGCTCAAACAGGCTCAAACGCTCACTCGCACTGGCCACCGAGCTCTATCCTGGGAACATATCGCGCAGCAAGCCGGGTTGTTGGGCAAGCACAGCCGCGGAGATGACGAAAGAAGAGCGCTAGCGGGTCGCGAGCCGTCAACTGGCCTGCTCCGGTAATCGGCCTTGGAAGTTGGGCCTTCGGGCAGCTCACTCTCAGTCTCACCTCAGCCGTCAGCAGCCTCTGCACTCTCCATCGCTCGAATCCTTCCCGCGGCTGGCCAGCGCGGGCTCAATTGTGATAATCATACCGTCTCCGTATCTGTCTCGCGTGCCCCATCATATCGCCCACCTGCCTCCCCGCCTCCATCCCGCTCTCATACTTATGCTTGCCCTCGCCTCCTCCCACCTCCTCCGCCCCTCGCCCATCCTCCTCTAGGTCCCTAGCTTACACAGGCCCCAGTCTCCTCTCTTCCGCAAGCAACCCCGTCCGAACCCTCCACGAACACACGAGCGAAACGCATCGAATTTCGCCACCCCAGCCCACCTCTCAGTCGCTGCCATGTCCTCCTCCTCCTCGACGCCCTCCCAGCCACCGTCCCCATTTGATACACCCTCGCGCCCTTCCCCCCCGTCCGGCCGCCCAGATCGCCCGTCGCCAAACCCGGGCTTCGGCTCGATCTTCCAGTCTCCCGGTGGGCCTCCGCTTATCCTCGTATGCATTGCAGCTGGGCTCCTCCTGGGTGCCTTCATTGGCGTCCTCCTCATGCGCCGCATGCGACCTCCTGTTGTCGTGCAGCGCATGGGTGCCGGGCGGGGGCGCGGTGCTGTCAAGTTGGGCGAAAAGCCGAAGTTGTTGGATATACATCTCGGACAGAGGACGGATGTTGGGTCTAGTGGATCACACATTCAGGACGCGCAGGGAAAGGCGGCGGGAGCTGCGCGTTGGGCATATGTCTTTGTAAGTCTGCTGCTGCGGGCTACTGTATGCATACGTACCTCTCCCTCTCCGTTCAGTCCGCTCTGCGTGGCCCGGACGGGGAGAGTGAGGCATGCACGCACGCATATAACCACTGATCTGGTCGTGTGCTACCCAAACAGCAAGCTTACCACCTTCCTCTCCCTTCCTCTCTCCATTATAACGCCCGCGCAGCCGTTCGCCGCTATCTACCTCCCTTCCTCCTCCAAAACCTCCTCATCAGGCGGCTCGCCCTCCCAACCTTCACCCTCAAACGCTAACGCTAACGCAAACCTAAATCCCGTCTCGCGCCTCCTTACCCGCCTCCGACACCGCGACCGGCGCGCACACGACCGCGCTGCCCACGCTTCGTCCGCAGGCCCATCTCCCTCGAGTCCGGCCAGGCTC